CAAATCCCTGCCATCCCCAGCCATAATCAGGCCCTGTCGGTCTCCTTTCGCGGGGAAGGAGCCGCCGGCCTGGAAACAGGCGCTGCCTGGGGCCGGGATGCCGCCAGCCTGTACACAGAAATGCTCCTGATCCACCTCGGGCCAGAAACAGCTCAAACGAGGGGCAGCGATATCTAGCCTCAAGCAGAAGGGGAACAGGAGAGGAGAATCAGTCGTGTCTGTAAAGTGCTTCGAGATCCACCATTTGACGCGACTGCTGCGTGACGGACCCTCATAACCGCGGCAGCGCCAGCACAAGGGGCTCGCCAGCGCCCGGGGTCCTTTCGCCAGCTTGCACCCGCCTCAGCGCCGAAACGGCTCGCTGTGGATCGGGGAAGCCTCGCGCACCTTTGCTCGGCTGCGGGGCTGCATAGAGGCCCCGGCCAGGCAGCGCTGCAGCCCTGCTGACCCCACCTTTCCCTTGGGGAAGCCCTGCGCCGCACTAACACCCCAAACCCCGCCATCAGCCCCACGAGCAGCGAGCTGCCGCTCCTCGGAGGGAAGGAGGGGGACAAGCCGGAGTTCCAGTAAGTTAGAGATGCACTTTTAAAGTCCCCTTCCAAACAATACTGGCAAAGCGAAGCGGCAAGGCAGGGAGCGCAGGCTGAGGAGCTGCCCCGTCTAACGCCCCAGGCAGGAAAGGGCAAGGGCGATCTCTGCACAGCCCAAACAGGAGAGCCTGCTGCGGGGATCCTGGTGTCTGCTCCTCCTTGCCCCTGCGTGCGTCAAATGGGTTTGCCATTCTTTCAAAGCAAGCATCAAAGCAGCTCATTTACAATGCATAATGACTACGAGGCTCTGCTGGGAGATGCATTTAAAATCTCTACGTTGCAGCACAGAGAGCAAGCCCCCCTTCGCCTCCTTTTTGAGCAGAAGCTGCCACCCATGACCTATCAGGAACGTCAAGGGTGTTCCCCAGCAAACAGCCGCCACCACCACCACCACCGATTACCCCACCTGTGCAATGACAGTTCTACAAATCGGGCCGCAGAGTCAGAGGTGGGGAGAGCAGCGCTGCTGGCACCATCCCGCGTGTTCAGGCTGTAGCAAACACTGATGTAATTTGGCAGCTGTATTAAAGGGGATTCTCAGTGACACCCCAGCCCCTGCTGCCGCAGCCTTCTCCAGGCTGAACCAACCCAGCTGGAGTTTCGCACAGGCGGACTCTGCCAGCCTATCGGCCACCAAGGTGCATGCCAGGCAGGCGTTCCCCATAGCAGCTGCAGCTGTGGTGGCCCCGGGCTCTTCCACGTTAACGAGTTCTGAGCAAGGAGCTGGACCAAGGAGGGAAAAAGGAGCGACAACGTGGTTGCGTCTCATCCCCTCATGCATGAAGTGTCTGAGACAGCACAGAGAAAGGCGTCAGAGGCACTGCGCATTTCAGGTACATGTGCTGCACTGTGCTCCAGGAGAAAGCCTGCTGTTTTGTTCTCTTAAGGACCAGAAACTCCCTTTGAAAGGGGTAGACTCCTCCATCAATATTCAATATTGCCAGATGCAAAGGGCTTTTAACTATTGAGTAATATTTTTACTTTGATGCGTAATCACCCCCTGCAGTCCACAGACCTCTCCCCGTTGCTTCAGTCTGCAGCCTCCACAATAGCTATGAAGCAAACAGCAATTACACATTTATTCCAACAACATGAATGTAACCTGAGCAGGCTCTGCCAGTGCCTAACTGCATGCTGCCTAGCAGCAAAACGTAAAGGACAGTCTGAATTGGTAACGGGCTGCTCACTCCCTGCTGGCCTCCACAGCAGCACGGCGGAGAAGGATGCAGGACAAAGCTTTGCCTAATTAACATACATGGGAATGAGCTCCTGGTTAAAATTCATGTATTAGAACATAAGCCCTGGACAGCTTCTGCCCCCCCGGCTTGTGAGCAGTTTCCCTGGTAAGATAAGGCAGCCTCGCAGAAACACAGCTCATTTGTGCTGGTGAGAAGGCGGGAGCAGAGCGCCAGAAGAGCTCTGCAGGGCCTGAGGCTGCGGGCTGGGCCTGGCCTCAGAAGCTAGAGCAGACAAGGTCCAGGCTAAATGGTTTCGATGAGCCTGCCTGGTGCTACACCTGATTCCTACTCCACGTAGCTGAAGGCTTGGTGCAGTAAAGAGCAATAGAAACCGTGCACGGCGGAGCCAGGCATCAGGCAAAACCTATTACCCCGAATCAGATGCTAAGGATTCCCTACAACACCTCAGGGGAAGCGGGACAGGCTGCAACAACGCCAGTGCAGCGGCTGCGAGACAGAGCCAGCCCGCTACTGCCCCGCTGCAAGGTCGGCTCCCAGCGGCACAGGATGCACTTTGATCCCCGAAGCAGTCAATTCCTCTCCTTTGCACTAGGAATTACTCAGCATTTAATAGCCTAGAGAAAAGGGGAAGGGAAGAAATCGACGGCTCCACCCCCCCGTAGTTTTGAAGGCTTCCGTAGAGTGAAGCATCACTGACGCACGGGCTCCCGAGGCAGAGGAACCACAGCCTGGCCAGCGAGCGCGGAGCAGCCAGGGCTCTGCCTGCGGGGTTCCTCCTGCCGCTGGGACCACGGGAGGGGGTGCGTGCGCGGACCCCGGCACAGCTCAGGCTTCTCGGAAGCTGCCCCTGGTGCAGCCGCCTCAAGAAAAGCTCCTGTTAAGTCACAAAGCAGAGCAGTTTTAATTACAAATGTAGGACTTACCTGATGGCAAAGCCTCGGGCAAGCCCAGGGAGCACCAGCCTTCCGAACGGCATTCAAGGCGGATGCTGGTCAGTTTGGAGGCAGCCCTTTAGCGAGGTCTCCAGTTCTTTGTTTGATTCTGCTACTCCTTGCCCTCAGGTAATTGCTGTAAAAGGCACAGCGCGGCCTGGCCTTGCCTCAGCACTGCCTTCTGTCCCGGGAGGTGCCAGAAAGCAAGCTGCTCTCGCACATCAGCAGAGAGGGAGGACATGCAGCTGGATCCTCGGGTACAGAACAGCATTTCCAACCCACACCTGGCTGTGAAGCTCCAGGTGCTGGTGCTTCATTACTGAAGATGGAGTCAGACCAGAGGAGTCAATACAGACCCCATGACAGAGGCCACATCGCTCCCCCTTAAACTCTTACTTCTCTGGAAGCATATCCCTCCTTTATCCAGTATCTGCTTATTCAAACCATTTCACTTCATTCAAATCTTAAATGAGAGGCAGATTACTACAAAAGTTCATGGATTATACTGACTCGGTTAGAAAGGGTTTCCACAGACCTAGCCTAGCCACCTCCACGGCCGAAGGGCAATGTCCCAGGTGCCGATCCTACAGACGATTACCCAGCTGGAGCCAGCCCCCGACCTGCGAGGAAGGGCCTCCCTTGTGCCAAGATCTGCGGGACAGTTTCAGTGGCAGATGCAAAACAGCGTTGCTTGGCCTTCTACTGGCACCTAACAGGCAGCGCTCAGTTGTCCCCCCAGCTCTCTTTTGAAATGTAGATGATAAAAAGCACCCCCCAGCGTGGGCTCTGGAGACAAGAGGGGCACCAGCCTGAAGGGGAGGTGGTGCTGAGCAGCCCCGATAGCTACAAGAGGTGCTCACATCCAAGGAAACAGCAACCTACGTCAAATGCTTCCAGCGCTGCCCCTACCAGCAGCAACACCTTGCTACGCTACGTTTGCCTCCACTTGGCAACTGCAGGACACTTGATAACACATTTGCTCTTCAGGTTGACAGAAATTACAATTCAAATTCTGATTTACATTTTTGACCTCCTCCAGCAAGTCTCCGCTCCCCTCCCCCATTCGGGAGGCTGGACGTCAGGTATTTTTTCATATATGCCTCCGTGCAGAGACTGAGTGACTGATTCACATAAGAAGAGCTAAGCAATTAAGTACAATACTTGACAAAATAATTCTATTTCCTTTAAGCATTCCAGTATTTATAAACATACTTTCTATAACTTTCCAAGACAACCTGGCAGCATCCGAGCACCAAACTATTCTCTGAACTTCGCTACAATTTCCCTTTTTTTTTTTTTTAAACAACAACTTTATGAAAACCACTTCCCTTTCTGCTCTGAAAGTACAAAATTATTTCTGAAGTTGAATTGCTTGGCAACAGAAAGAAGCAACATATTTTCTTCCATAAAAAGCAATTTATTTTCTTTGCAGTCTCATTTTGCAGGCAGGGACTATTGGAAGCAGATTCTTACAGGGCTTATTACAGGAGACGGGGGTACTAAAGTGCATCTGTTTATCAGCTCTCCACAGGTGCCACACACACTTCGCAGAAGGAAGACCAGCACAACGCTGGCATAGGCTCACAGGTTTAAGGGTTGATGTGCATTGAGAATCAAGTGCTGGCTTTTCAGGGGCTGTACTTGCGGATGATTTTCCCGGTTAGGACGAGCTGGCACTCGCACATACAACAGGAGAGCTCTTCATATCGTTTTCAACACAACTGTAATCCATGGCCCAAGATTAACCAGGCTGATGCATTAGCAATCACAAAACAATACTCCGTTGTATTGGCATACGCCCTTATTCAGGGGTATGTATGTATGCAAAATGAAAACATGGAGGTCACTCGGGAGTGCAAGTATGTTTTAATTCAAGACCTGAGCCCAGTATTACTCTTGTAAATTAGTGTCTCCAAAACATCCTCAAGTACATAAACAGGAACTGGCTGCAGTGCTAAATAATACATCACTATTTCTCTGAGGAGACCATCTTCTGAATTTTCTAACTTCAAAAATTTGTTTTACATTAATTTTAAAGGACTAATTTGAAATTAGAAAGGTTAATTTTTAAAGAACAGTGGGTAATTCCATCTTTATATGGCAATGGTGCTTAAGTAACTTTATTGTTTATAAAAACGTAACTATTTTACTCTGAACAAGAACACTCCATGCACATCATCTCTGCATAAGTGACTTAAAAATTCTCAGTCCTTAAAATAGTTACCAAAGTATCAGCACTGATGAGAATTTCTGAGCAATGGAAAAGCTGCAGATCACCCTTAGGAGAGAAGGTAAGCACTGAACTCCTGGCACTGGTAGCAAGCAACACTGTCTAATACCCACTCTCGAGTCACCATGGCAACGTTGTTCTTTTGCTGGATTGCTGTAAGACAGACGGAAACGATAAAACCATTACCAATGAGTCAAAGCAAGCCTAAGGTGAGCTTACTGATGCCTTTCAGATTAAGCTATTTGCTTTGCCTTTGGCATTTTAAAGGCCTTGATAAAAACAAGAGTCTAAAACCAGTGATGTGGCACTACTACTCCTTTTAACAAGGCAGGTAATACTGCCGCTCCAAAAAGAATAGCTGCGTGGCAAACGGTCAGGCAGGAAGTTTTGAACACCACAGAATAAACGCTAAAAGCAAAGAGTGCAGTCCTTTTTATCTGTTAATTTAGGACCTCGGTGACAGAGCCTCAGTTCCTGTCTGCTCAGGCATACTGAGTATGTGACAAGCAATGAGTCTCATTAAGAGAGAAGCAACAGAAAATTACTGAAGTGCTCCCAGACTGTTCTTCGCTGTTTCAGGATCTTTTCCTTTATTTTCTCATTTTCCCAGTGCCACGGAAACAGCTGTTGTTTTTACATCATCCTCCTGCTCCATTTTTTTGTTGAACTCCACTGTAGCCTAAGTAGCTCCCATTCATCCCCTAACTCCCACTATCTCATTTAGAAGTTAGTCACTTGCACTTTCAAAGTCTCATGGTTTCTCTGGAGCATTTTTATTAAGGAGAAGGAAAAAAAAAAAAAAAAGAAAAAAGGCAAAGCAATGTCTAGCTACAAAGCGTTAACTGATATACTTTCCCGACCAAGAGAATCTTGTTCCATCTGAGGCTTTCTCCTAGATCTTACTAGTCCTCCAAGGGCATGCTTCCCCACCTTTTAGAAACTACCTCCAGTCAGAAAAGTTTCTGTAAAGTTGGTGATATGGAGGCCAACTGAGCCAAGGACAGGATTTGTCTGCCAGACTACCTTTTAAGACCGTTGGTGATTCTTGAGGGAACATACCTTGTCCTTTCAGACTTTTTCCCCCCAAGACATACCTCCATCTCCAGATGCAGTAGGATTTTACTTTGATTACTCTACAAACCTCTCTGATATTTAACTATTAAAAGGACTGAGGTGATAAAGACATTCAATGTGTACCATAAAACAGTCCATGACAGTGTGTCGTTTTACCTCTACAATCCATGTTTTCCACCCATGCGTCTGGCTGCACAACTACGACAGCAGTAGAATTCTAGGATTTCAAGATGAGAAAACAAAAGCTATTGTTATCTATCTGTCATTAAATCACGCTCACACCTATCTGCAGAGAGCGATAACTGGGCTAACTCTGCTTCAGCGTATCACTTCAGAGGACTTTAAGAAGTGGTAATAGAGAAAAATATTCCTTGCTAAGATTTTTCTCTGCTTTCTCTCCAGGAATGCTGTGACTAAGTTAAGGCACTAAAGGCTTTTTGCACTGGGAAGTGAGGCTCAGTGCCGATCTCAAGAGATATTAGCTATCCGGCCTACATAGAGCACTCTGATCAGCTTTCCACTGCAAGTTAGCCTGCCTCCTAATACCGAGCGGCCAGAGCCTGGAAGACAAGAACTGCTGCCACGCAGTTTGGCACCATTATCGTGCACAGTTCTCTACCACACCGGTGTGCGGCAGCCTTTGACAAGCCCACCAAGGCCATGCAATCTTTCAACCTGTTGTGTATTACAGAATTATAGACCGCTCACTATGTGAAGTGTAACATTCATTAACACTTACTGTTTTGTGCGTGAACAGATGAAGCTGCTTCACTACAGAGGCACCACAAAGCTCCACCATCCATTCCAGATGTTCTGAAGAGATCAGATAAACAGCCTATTGCTTCAATGTTTTATACCATGTTGAAACTGATACTATCGCCTAAGCCCCGTGTTTGTTCCGAGGTATAAACTATCGTGATTTGAAAGAAATGTAAGCCTTGGTAGAGAATAAGTCCTTTCACTTTCTAGCCTGCTGAGGAAGACCAACTCACCCTCTAGTCAGGACTAAAAAACCCTGAAAAAGCAAAACATCACATGCCCAAAACTTAAAGAGAAAGTCACTAACAATTTATTTCCTCTTATCATAAGGATGTAAGACATGAAATTAAAAATCAGAAGTTAGAACTGTGATTATCTCTCATTAACAAAAGTAGCCAAAGTATTTAATTTCCATCAATTTGTTGAATTGATAGTGAAGATGATAAATAAGTCTCTCAAGTATAAGAGCCATAATTGATGATCACTGCAGCAGGTGAAAGCACTGCATCCTCTGTAGTAATTATTGTAAATGTCAAGAGATGTGAAGATATTTCACCCAGGCAAAAATAAAATTATATTGGACAAATCGGAAAGTACCTGCTAAATAAGCCACAAAAATGGGAAGAGAGGTACAAATATTTTAAGTAAAAAAATTCTAGCTTAAATTTTCAAAACATCTACAATACTTTATTCAACTTTAAACTAACAAAAAAGCTGTCCTGCCCAGCTTTTTCTTTGTATATAAACTCCTGGCTTTCTTGTGTTTCACTTTTAACATCTGCTGCTAGAGAGAGAAGATTACACCCAGGATGTGTCAACTGCTAGAAAAACAATACTTATGGACTGTTTACTAAGAAGAAAAAATGCTCAAATACACATGTTCAATAGCATCTAAACCAATTACCAGACAGCATGATATTAATGCCTTCACTGCTAGAGAATCAGAGAGAAGCTAGATAAAGGCCTGTTTTGCAACACAGGAAAATTGCCAGAGTGTTTCTCTGAGGACATCCAAATAGAAGAGAAGACCATTTCCATTCTATCTGGAGATAGAACTGGATAAAGTTCTTTACCTACACTATACCTCATGTGGGTGTTTTGAAAGTTTCAGAGCAAAAGAGGTGCAAGGGTATCCAAGAAGAGGTCAAAGGTAACACTCTGGTAAACGCATACAATCCCCCTCCAAATATTTATGTTAAGAGTTCATTTTATTTGATGAAAATGACACACCTGTAGTCATATCAGTGAATGGTCCATAGCAACAGATCTCAAAGTCTTTAAAGATCTGAAAAACAAGGAACATGTTAATAGAGTACATACGGTACCTTTAAAGTACAATACTTAATATGCTGGTTTCAGTGCGCTTCTAGGATTCAAGCTATCGCTGTTTCACAAAGTATATCTGAAGCTCTTTGTAACCTACAAAACAAAAGAATATCATCAAAACCCCCCAACCCTGTGCTATCCTATACCGACGTTATAAAAAGACAGCATTCACTCTAAGCATAGTGAGTCACCTGAGCCTATCTGCACTGCTGCTGACAGAGCTCACCTTCCATGTATACAAATGCTGACTTTGTACAAGTCTGTGTACATGGAACAGCAGAGAAAGTGGAATAAGTTCCAGCTATTCAGCTAGCATAGCCACGTATCTGAAACAGTCACAGCAGGACAGGATTTTCCACCTTGATGTGCTCATACCTTTTCAGTCAGAGACTGTCTAGCCCTCTTAGGACCTTGGTGGTTTCTCCCATTGATTACATCTCCTCTAACTTCAAAGTTCTCCTGGAACAGAACGTAAACAAGCGACCAGAAATTAGAGACTGAGAACACTTTCCTGGTCAGAGTTCTGGATCAGAACAGGAAGAAGCTTCAGACTTCAGAACTGGAAACCTTACAATTAAGTGTGTGCAGAAAATGAATTAAAAGGCTTTTCAAGAAAAATGATGCAGAGCAGTAATGAAACTCCTGCAGCATCAGACAATTTTTAAAGAAAGAAATTATAGTCAAACTGTACAGTAGCCTAACAAACTGTGTAAAATTCCAAGACTATAATTAACTTATCAGTAAAGTCTCATTTTATAGAAATTAATTATCAGTACATAACCTCTAGATCTTCAACATCTATTTTATTTCAAGCCGTTCACTTAGTATATAGATTAATAACAAACCCAGTGCCGCATTTGGTAATTTCAGGCCTACATCTGACTCAAACTCCCATTTCCCCAAGACTTTGTTGAAAGGTCTCAAACATCCATGCAGTCTAACCTGCTGTAAGAGTATGGAGAGCGGCTGCGTGTTTTCAGTTTACTTGAAAAAAAAAATTTTTGTTTTCATTATAATTGGAGGCTCTTCTCCTTGCTTAAAGCAATGTATGAGTGCATGGCAACGTTAACAGCTGTCCCATATTCTAGCATTCCCAGTCAATTCTGTAGCAACTTCCCCCTTTCACCTCAAGCACAGGAGGGCCTTTAATACCCTTTCCTAGGGCCTTTTTGGGACCAAGTTTTCTTCTTCACCTTTGGCTTGACAAAAGAGCACATGGATTTCATACCAGAAAGTGAGCATTTCTGCTTACTAGATATATGAAATCCATACTGTGTCACATTTTCCAAAAACCTGTACTAGAGCATGAACATCCAAATACTACCCAGGAATACAAAAATCCACCTAAATAAGGGTCATATCAAATAAGCTGTTTCTCCTAGTAAAGGTAGTAAACGCTGGAACGAGTTTTCAGTAGCTGGCTATCTTAAAGTTTAAAAACAAACCAAAACAAAACTATGTATATAGCTACATTCCAACATTATTTCCTTAAGCAGACAACAGATCTTTTCCTCTATGCTATAATCCATCAATATCGGTAGGAACACTTATAAAAAATATGCCTATAACCTGTTCCAAAAAATAATAGGGACCCAATATGTCCTGCATAACAATGAACACATATAGCTTAAGTCTGGCTTTCGGTCCCAGCATTTGGTAAAACCAGAATCCCAGTCTTCAGAGCCAAGTTTCCATATATTAAGTGTTTAGACAATATCTGAGGCTACTAGTAGGTCTATCAATGTAACAGCATTGCTTACACATTTGACGTTTCACTCAAGATAAAAGACCTACCTCATCCAGTATCCTTCCTTCTTTAAAGGACTGAATTATCCCTGAATAAAAAGATCAGAACAGGACAAGTCATTTTATCCAGCAAAACTGTTCTTCCACTGCCAATACTCTGACTTCATTGCTATATTAAATGGGAGGTATTTGTACAAAGGGAAACTGAATACTGTATGATACCTGAAAGAACTTAAAGAATTTTTTTTACCTTTTATAAATAATACTAATTTTGCAGTAAGTGATGCCATGCATCTCAAAGATTTAAATTAAGAGAGAGGAAAGGCTTTTGTCAGAGTAGGGAGCAATCCAATGTGGGTATTCGAAAGCGGGAAAAGTATTCAGAAGAGAAAAAAGCCTGATGTTGCCGTTTGTTTGGGTTTTTATTTATTTAAAAGTATTTAGAAGAAACTCTGCAAAACATCAGATGCCAAGACACAGAGATCCTTTTTTTTTTTTCCCAGTGGAACAAGTGAAGAGTACATTTGTGGCAGAAGGGCAGAGACCGTTTAGCTCCAAAAGAAGTTGTACTTACACTGATAACTAACTACCCATTTTCTTCCTGCAATACCCAGAAAGTACTTCAGGGTCCGTTCACACACCAGCTCCTTATCTGCAGAGCAAACAAGAATAAGATCTTTCAGTTTCGCCATTAGTGAGAAAAAAAAGGCTCAGGTTATTTGTACCTAAAAGCAAGTTTTTTTGTTTGTTTGTTTTTTTGCTAAGTGCAGCAGCAAAATATCAAGACCATCTATAGAACGGTTCCAAAATTCTAGTGTCCTGATCCTACTAAACTGAAGGAAATGAGCAGAAACTAATCACATGTACAACTTCTGAACCCTTTTTTATTCATTTAGTAAAGATAAGAGGCAAGAAAAAGCATGAATACTGGTCAAGTCACAGGACACTAACAGTAGGATTCAGTTCCTAACGTTGGCATAAACTTTTAGATGACGAGCCACTTAAGATCATCTCCCACTCTACCAGAACAGGCACAACTTCAGAAGGCAGTTTATCCTATCTATATTTGTACGAAGACAGAACAATCTACCTCTCCCAAAACATATGGTCATGGTGCCTACGGTACACTTTCTGAAGAAAAAGGCAAAAACTGAATCCATAGATTTGGAGTAACAGGATTTTCTGTCTCCTTTTCTATGCTGGCTTTCAAAGGCAAGAAAGGCTATGTGATAGACTGTATCCAAATACGAGCCAGCCAGAAGTGCTTCTATGAAGCAAAATGCAAGCACAGTATATAGCATACCCACACCCAGATTTGCCTCAAAATATTTTGCTTTTAAAGAAAACGTTGATTAAAAGCTAGTGGTAGGTTCAGTAGGGAGCGTAAATATAACCTATGCCTAGTCACAGCAATATAGTAACTTAATGTCACTGAGGAACGTTACGCTTTCCCGAAGTCAATATAATGCTATCTGTTTCAGAACACATTTGTGAAATTTGAAACTGTAGTACTGTACTGAAGTTTCTATAAAGTTCCTTCAAGCTTTTAATAATGGGATTCTTGAGCTCTATCAAAGAGCAAAACCTAATTTAAATACCTTAACTAAGCACGCAAATAATAGTTACAAGGAAATGGTAGTGCTGCTTTGTTCCCATGGAAGCACACCTTCACTATGAACTCCCACCAGTTACACACACAGTTAAGACCCACTTCCAGTTTGCTATTAAAGGTAAGTTTCTTTCCAAAATGTAGACTGAAACAGCATTTATAATCCCTGCAAGGAATTAGGAAACCAAAACAGCATCTTATTTCTAGAATGTTTGTATCCCATTTCTTTAGGAACTGTCTCGCTTTCTTTGTGGTTGGTTCTGAGCTACTTCGTGTTAATGTGCTGTAAACACCTGAAAATTGTGACCAAGCAGTTGGAGGAAAAAAATCAAGTAACATTAACTTCAAACCACACAAGGAAACAAAACATACCCTCCTCCCTCTGATTCTGTGAAACAGAATAAGAAAGATCCCCAAGTTTAAACAAAAAAAATGGTAGCAAAGAAAACAATGAATAAGTTCTTCCTCAAACTTATTCAAATTTATTGCTGAACTGTCTGCTTGTTGGTTAGCCTAGAGTTAAAATTCTATATGCTGTGTGAATATAGGATTTGTTCACAGAGCTCCCGACAAACCTGTTTTCATGATGACATGGGTTGTTCCTTCAGTAATGTGATTAGATAAAGTGCTCTGAGTTTTTCTTGCAAACTTCTGGACCACCAACTGAAAAGTAGTTAAGAAAATTAACAGCTAGCAAAAAACAGACTAAAAACCCCAACAATTCTAGTTTATAGGAGTATAACATAGTAAGGTAGTTACTTTAAAGTAATGGTTTTATTTGTGTTGGCACACAGAATGTACATTTCCTTAAAAGCCAATAATTTTGGCACCATTCAACAGGCTAAAGTAAAGAGCAGCTCTCAGTCAGTAGTTTATAAACCAAAAGCTATATCCTCCTGGAAATGGATTATACAAACAGGTTTATTAGCAATTCAGAATAAATTACAGAAATCATCACTATGGATCAGAATTTGGGTAAAGCAGCAGCATCTGAGATCATTAAGGGAACGAACCAACAGGCCCCCTCCCCTCCAAGCCCCAAGGCTTTCTAGAAATAAAGTCCTCTTGCTTTGGAATAAAGCGGTTTTCCCCGAGACAGCAGGCAGTCATTTAAAAAGTTCAAACTTCACTAAGCTTCACAGTGCCATTTATAGGCAGCATTCTTCATATTTTTAGGAGTGGAAAAGTTTGACATGAGTGGCTGTATTACTGATCTGCAATTCCTGTACAATTAGTTTCCACTATACTTAGATCTCTCTATGTTGAGGACTGTAGTGGTAATCAGGAAGGATTAACAAGTTATCTCTAAAACTTCTGAAATATACTTACATGTTCACTTCGATTCAGACCTGATACCACAATTGACATTTGTTTTCTGTTAGTCACAACTGGACTTGTAGCATTTTCTTTCCCAGCTGCATTGTGCAGAACAGGTACAGGAAAACACACACTTGTCTTCAATGTACATTCTTGAGCACAGCTTTTATTAGCATTCTGAGCTACAACAGAACTATTTGTTGCTTCTGCAGTTCGAGGGTTAAGCAGCCTTACGGAGGAGGAAGAGCTATTTGGACTCCTGGTCACATTTCCAGAGAGATTTGATAAGACAGATGCACTGTTTAGCCTGGTCCCAGACTTCTGCTCATCTCTGTTTTCTGGAGGAAAAGAGAAATTACTCCTTGCAACAATTTCATCCTTCCTGTAGTCATGGTGGAAGGCTGTTGCTCTACCTTCTAAGTTAAATGCTGCAGTCACTTCCTCTCCTTATTTGTTTATTACTTCACCTTTGCCTCTATCATGACTTTTTCCTGATCTATAGCTGGGACACTAGAACACCTGTGAAACTTTTAGTAGCATATCTGTCAAGAAGTACCAATTTATATGTGAGACAGATAACTCCCATAACTGTCAAAATGTTGTCCAGGCCCATCCTGATGGGCAGCTATACAGCTGGGCTACCAAACAAAACCAAACAACGAGTAACAGCTTTTCAAATCAACCAGGAATATATAACTTAAAATCCTTGATTTACAATAAAAAGTTATATCTTATTGGCATGTAAAACGATGAAAAAAGCAGTGTTGTAGTTTAAGCTGGCAGGCAGCTAAACACCACACAGCCATTCACTCACTCTCCCCTGGTGGGATGGGGGAGAGAATTGGAAAAAAGGTAGAACTCATGGGTTGAGACAAAGACAATTTAATAGGACAGAAAAGGAAGGGAAAATAATAATAATAATAATAGAATATACAAAACAAGTGATGCACAATGCAGTTGCTCACCACCTGCTGACCGATGCCCAGCCAGTTCCCGAGCAGCAGCCACGTCTCCCTCCCACCCCCAGTTTTTTGCTCAGCATGACGTCCCAGGGTATGGCATAGCCCTTGGGCCAGTCTGGGTCAGCCGTCCTGGCTGTGCCCCCTCCCAGCTTCTTGCGCACCTCCAGCCTCCCCGCTGGCAGGGAGTAGGAGAAGCTGAAAAGGCCTTGACTGGTGTAAGCACTGCTTAGCAACAACTAACACATCAGTGTGGTATCAACGTTATTCTCATCCTAAATCCAAACTACAGCACTATACCAGCTGCTAGGAAGAAAATTAACTCTATCCCAGCCAAAAGCAGGACAAGCAGGAAAAAAGCAGAAATCAAAATGTCTTGGATCCCTCTTAAATGTTACCTGCTTCCAGCTGACACTGGCTATATTCTTGCACTGCTTCCTGCACAGGTTTCGTCTTTTCAGAAGGAGCTTTGTTCTTCAGAAGACTGTCACACTGAGGGCCTTTCTCCAAATCTGTTCTCCAACAGGATTTAGAAGATGCTAGCAACAATTCTGGAGACCTTGAGAGGAGGAAATTGGTTTTAATACCTTTTTTTACTCTAAGTATCAGAACTATGTAGCAACAGCTAAGCTATTGTAATTGCTCAAAAGCTGAGAGGTATTTATGTCAAGATTTTTCTTTTTTTTTTTTAATATAAGATTAGAGGTAAAAATAACCAAACGAGAACAAAACAAAACATTTACCTTTCTTTTTCTACCTCCTTGATTTTAGTGTTGAGAGAAGCACTTGGCATAACATGGAAATCATTGGCTGAAAATCCCTTTGAACTGCTGCATTTACGATTTTCAAAATTTCCTTCTGAGGTTGATGCTACCCCTTTAAAAAAAAAATTCTTAAACAAGCAAAATAAAAGCAACTGCTCTTAATCGTTTCTTCAGGTAAGTCAAGCATTCTCTAAAATCTCAATCCAGATACACTTTAGAGGCAAGTGTCCCAAACCAGAAATCTACACAAAATACTAAGCCATTTGAAGCACAGCTAACAACTACATTTTATTTCACATATTAAATCATCTACAAAACTAAGATGTCAGGTCAGTATTAGGTGGAAAAAGTAGGATATAAAATGGGCCGAAGGCAAATTTACGCTATTTAGTGTGGTTTGTTTATGAATCTCCTCACCGTTACCATATCTCTGTTCACAAGCAGTGAATGGTTTGTTTATCAAACCATCAATAACTCTAATCAGGTTAAGTTTTTACAAGTCAGAAATCCATATTCTAGCATAACAATGTAAACATGCATTGCATTAATGAAATTAAATAAGTAGTTTTCCCATCTGAAGGAAACTAACCATTGGTTTGCTGACTTAATCTTATAGAATCATAGAATTGTTTAGGTTGGAAAAGACCTTTAAGATCATCAAGTCCAACCGTTAACCCAGCACTGCCAAGCCCACCACTAAACCAAGTCCCTCAGCACCACATCTCCCCGGCCTTTAAATCCCTCCACGGATGGGGACTCAACCCCTTCCCTGGGCAGCCTGGGCCAGGGCCTGACAGCCCTTTCAGTGAAGAAATTTTTCCTAATACCCAACCTAAACCTCTCCTGGGAAAACTTGAGGCTGTTTCCTCTTGTCCTATAGCTTGTTACTGGGGAGAAGAGACCGACCCCCACCTTGCTACAATCTCCTTTCAGGTAGTTGTAAAAAGTGATGATCTTCAAGCCGTCTATTTATCGTTATCTTACAAATTTGGCCTACTGGGCTTAGAAATGTCACATTTCAAAGTCTTCTCTATGAAATAATATTCTCAAACTGCAGTAAGGTTGAATGCCATGCAGTTCAACAAGCTTTGTTAACTAAGCATGAATTGTAACCAGGCTCTTGGTGTTAAATATACTATTAATGTTTTAACAGCTTAAGCACTCTGACAACAAAAAGTAACTTGCTAACACACAAGCAGAAGACCCATTGGTATAGCTGCACCATATTGGCTGACAATTTAACATTTTTTGTATTTTAAGGTACAGGTTAATCTAACGGTCTCATACCTCACACCATTATTCTCCTGAAGGAACAACCTACAGGTTGTTCTGTGATATTTGACTAGCACCCACAGCAGTGATGAAAGCCTTTGAATTTAGATAGAAAAGACTCCACAGTGAAAACCATACACAGTAAAGGCATAAGACACTAAATAACTTGGAATTCCAGGATGTTAAGTTATTCTAGCTGCCCTCAGAAAATAAAGATAACTCACCAAAGTAAGACCACAGAATTAGAAGTAAATTTTAGCAGCAAGTAGGATAATAAAGCACTGGTGCAATTTATTTAAGGGTTCAATAAGCATTACACCTTTGGAAATCTTGAAATCAGCATTGGGTGCCTTTCTAGAACACTGAGAAGTTCAACAGTGAACATCTGGACTTACTGTAGGCTTTGCTCAGAGTGCTCTATGCTCTGTTGCAGACTGGTTGTCAGAACAGTAATCTCAGTATCTGTCTTGCCTTAACAAAGAAAAACCTTAAATAAAGCCCTCCCGCTATTACTTACATAGTTGGGAGCAACTCACTTTATCCTCAATATACAATAAGCCTTTGGCAATTAGCAAAGTATTCTTCACCATTTCTTCACTGCTTTGCGTGCTTTCCAGCTGGGAACTCTGCGGTCATGGCCTCTTCAGGGGACTTACACACCGCTATAGGTATTCTCCTCCTCTTTGCCCATCAGCAGCCTGACCTGTACTGTATTACTTTTGACAGCCGATACATACCTAACCTAATTTCTGTCTTGTTCCTTGACATGCTAAAGCACAATCTCTACCACAGCAATAGAGGCCAAGTCCTTTCGGGTGTTCAGCCACTCTCCCAGTCCCTTACCCATTCCAGTAAAAAGAAAACAAGAGTACAACTAGAACTGCCAGAACAGCAACATGGATTAGTACTGCCAAGCCACAAGGCCTGCTCATGCCATTTATACAATTACCCCACGTAATCTCACACAGATCTGTAACAGGAGCTTTTTAGACTGAGTGTAGTAAATATAAATATAAATTTTATAAATAAACCATGTTTCACTGAACAGCTGAATTTAGGTAAAATTCTGCTAACGCATAAATTTTAAATTAACACTATAATTTGTGGTAGAGGGAAAAGAGAACTAGTAGTAGTCACACAACTGTGTGTAAGAAAGCTGGGAAAGGTTTTCATTGCTGTTTACCTCTTTCTTGTCTCATTTGTTCCATTCCAAGTGTTCCTTCGCTACCGGAATGTGGCAGTTCCCTATCGATAGGGAAAAATTCACAGTCCTGACTTCCATGCTGCTTTAGCACTGCTTCAAGTACAGCCATTTCTTGCTGAAGTTTTTTTAGGTTATTTTGCATAGCATCCTTCTGCTGCAAAGGATACACAATTGTACCAACGTTAGCAAACTCCGTTTTAAACAGCAAGATTAATTTCTTTAACAAACACTTGAAAATTAGAAACAGCAAAATTACTCCGAGTTAGTTTCTACCATGTGTTCAAAAGGTGACTGTGGTGCTTTTACTCTAACAAATAATGCACACATGCTACCCCAAAAGCAAAAACACACCCCAGAACCCAACCGCACACTCAAATTATTTCAGTTATACAGCTCACCAGAGTTTAATCAGTCAGGAAAAAGAAAAAAAAAAAAAAAAGAACTTCCGCACAGATTTCTTTAAAAGTCATTTTGCCCCAACTGCATTAGTTTGCATTAGCCACTTACATTTTAATCATGAACATCAAGTATTGAGCCTCTGCACTTTCCACCATTAAAGAAAGCCCCAAAGATTGTTTAAAAGGAACAAAATATTTCATCCTACTCTTCCCTATCTTCCCTCTAAAAAATTACAATAGCCATTATTAAAAACATGCCGTATCCCTCCACATAAGAAGAGCTCAGGGCTTCAATGGATCCTTTTGAAAACCTAAAAACCTTCACCATACAGGATAAAGCAGTTCCACAGCACTGAACGCTGCATTTGTAGCTCTAGCACTGGCACCATGTGGAGCTTCCTTGTTACTGAATCAATCAAAAACCCACAACCAAGCAGAAAACCCCCACCACACAACAAACCAAAAACATCCCCACCAACCCACACTGCCACTATTCCACACAACCCTGGCATAGCCTAGAATCTCTATCAATGAAGCTACATCAGGGAGCAATGTCCTGCCAGCTGACCACATTTGGCACTGATGCAGTAAACAGAAGAACCACTCATAAAGCACAAAAACATTCAATCTTCTTTGACACACATTAAAACCCATAGGGCTGTTAATGCTGAAGAGAGAGATTTGGCATAAGACCTACCTTGAAGTTAGTGAGGACAAAAAAAACCCCAACCAAACAAAAAAAACAACAAAAAAGCACCAACCTAAACAAACCAAAAAACCCACCAGACCAAACAAAACCCCAGAACGAAAACACACAACAAAAAACCCCAAACCCTCAAGCCAATCACCCAATACATAAAGTCAGGCCATTAAGCAGTAATCAGCAAATTAATAGCAGAGAAAACAGTGTGCTGGACACACCTTGCATTGGACACTGCCTGTTGGGTCTTATATCTATAATATTCTAATATAGAATGATTTGATTTAATCTTTACCCTTAGAAGGCAAGTCTCCCTGCTTCTAAATATCATAATGTAGCAAATCCAATCCTTATCACCAATCATGATAAATTCCTATCCATGAAGCTTTTAAATACAGGAAGCTGAGGTTTCCAGCATTGGTCAAGCGTGGAGATCCATTAACTAGCATCTCCCACAATTAAGCACGTCCATTAGAATGTAACGTTACCATGGAAGGCAAAGTTGGACAAATAACGGCACAGAAGCAGTTCTACAGTTCTTCATTAATTATGCTCTTGGAAGTAACCTGGCGACACGAAGAACTAGGAGGAAAGCAGTTTCCCACTACACGGCCTTCACAGCTTTCAGGTACTTGCTTATGTCCTAGAATGCAAACTACTTTTAGAATTCAGTGCATGAACTCACTGACCTGTGTGGTAAGGATTTCACCCTGAGAGAACGGTCCACATGAATCTTCTACATAACTTGTTTCACTGTCATACCCAGATGCTTCACCTTGAAGAAGGCAGAAGAAAATCAGAGTTAGTTAAAGGAAAAAACCAAAACAAACATTATCCATAATCTCTCACCACACAGACCTTTTAGCCAACTGTTAAGTCTAATGATAAAGCGACAAGTTTTGAAAACACTGAAGTTACAAGCACAGATCTAGTTTAAGTGAACATTTCGAAGAATACCATGTCACACATATGACAAAGTAAATAGAACTCAAAGTGTTTCAATAGTGAGGAGAGAGTCCTAAATATTTAGGAAAGCCACAAAAAGGTCAAAATAAGCACTACAGAATTCTACAGCCAATTTCAACAAACATTTCATCTGGTGAAACAGCTTAACTAGGCTTCATGAAATTTTGCTGATAGATGCAAGTATCACATTGCAGTAAGAAAGCTAGCATTTCACTCAAAAATTAATTCTGATCAGACAGACTCAGTCCAGCCTCCAGTGCCCCGTCTATTCATTTTTGCTCTGAACAAACAATACTGAGAGAACTTAATTTTCAGGAAATAAACGACTGCGGGTTTTTTTGTTTGATTGTTTAGGGCTGATACATTCCTTTAAAAGAGCAAGCACCACGTAAATACAGAACCAAGTTCCCACACAAACACCAAAAACATAGGTGCAATGACATTACAAACACAGCTGCAGAGAAAAATCTTGGTTTGTACCTAGGTTTGCTCCCATGTTTGGGTCTTCTTGGCATTCATCTTTGAAGTTAGTTTTGCTTCTCTTCAGCCCTTCATTACAACTTTGAAAAGTTTCTTTCCTCTCATTCACATTGCTCACTTGTTTGGATGGATGAGCTTGTATTAAAGGTTTCTTCAGCTCTTGTGCTCCATCAGGTGATTCTTCAGACACGTTGGACTGGGAAGAAAATAAGTTGACAGAGCATTCGGAGTCCTGGCTTGGTGAAACACACTCGTTACTTAGGGCAGCCTCGCGCATTTTCTGCCTATTATTGTCATCATGAGCTCCATTGTGAGGCAACGTGATGGGGCTTTGTGAAGCCTCTACCACAGATGTCACTTGCTTATTGATCTGGAAAGGGGTGCTTACTGATTTGCCAAATATTAATGCCTGAAAACATGGTAAATCTTCATCCTCGCTAGATTCTTCATCTGAAGACTGCAGTTTCTGCGCTTTTCTTCGAGATCTTTGAATACCTTGAGATCCTGGCTGAGAACTAACATTTCTATTGTGTACTACTTTTGCCAGGGCATTGTCGCTTCCTTTTACAAACACAGCAGATCTCTCTTTCCTATCAGTTTCAGAAAAGCTGGTGTTCTCTTCAATATCATCATCCAAGCACAGCAAGCCATCAGGGCTTTCAGACAAACCTGCAAAATCAGTATTCCCTTTAAGAGGTTCTTCTGGAGCCTCTGTAACTAAACACTCGGGCATCCCTGTGCTAGCAGTTTGGGTTGCTTGTTCTTCATTCCCCTTTACTTGTTTTCTTTCTCTTTTGCTACTTTTTTTCCCAGTGACTGCACAGCTGAATTCAGCAGGCCTTTGCTGACAAGTCACAGGGCAAATCGTTGATCTGGACTGAAAATGTAGTACTGGTCCTTTGCCGTCAACAACTTGGGCCTTTCCTGCTTGATTGCTGTCTGCACTGAAGCATATTTCACCAACTGTGTTTAAATCAGCTCTTTTGAAAATGTGCTCTTCTGCATTACTCTGATCGCTTTGGCTTCCCTTATTTTTGATTGGATTCTGTCTCAGCTCGCTTTCTATCCCTATGTCGGTTGTCACTGCCTTTTCATTTCCCTGCTCTCCTTTTTGTGGTCCATTTTTGTCTTCAGTCCTAGCAGTACCCGCTCTTACTGGTGTCAGATTCCCTTGATTTGCAGCCTGTGAAACATCTTGATGTTCCCCTGTGTGCATACATTCAGCGTTGCCGACAAAGCAAGTCACAGGACTAACACAAGCAGATTCAGAGGTCTTAAGCTTCTCTTTCTCACAAACCCTACTCGAGCTTTCAGCAGTTGTTTTCTCTCCTTGCAAGTTTTCTGTTTTTAAATATTTGCTATGCTTATTTTCTACCTGATCAGCACATGATACCTTTAAAGGTTCAGAAGCAGCATCTTCTACTGCGCACGCCTTTGTGGGAGTAGGATAAAGGCTAAACGATAGGCGTTTTGAATGCCTAAATATATTTCGCAGATACTGTGTGTCTAACTCACTGTCTTCAGCTTCCTTGGTCAATTCCGAAACATTTTTAGCCACGGGCAGCTTTTCAGTTCTGAAGTTCCCCGGAACATTCTGTGTATCATGTCCACTGTCCTGGAGGAAAGTAGTACATGATTCAGTGATCTCTTCAGTTGGGTGGGAAGCAGTTTGCACAACAGTCATTGAAGGAGACTGTAGGAGGAAAGGGCTACCTTGTATTTCCCCTTCTTGAGAACCTGCATCAGGTGCAAAGGAACTACAATTTGAATGCTGACATGAAGATGCAGGATTGAAGAGACTTTTTCCAGTTTCTGCAGCATCAGATGAATTCTTTACACTAATCTGTATTTCATTTGCTTCCAGATCACCACCCTTCAGATTAGCGAGTGGCTTGTAACTCATACCCTGAGGCTCACACAGGTCTTCGCATTCAGTCGTGTGAACTAACACATTCCTTTGGTCTCCAAAGAAACACCCTTCCTGATCACTGTCATACTTTCTTGCTCCCTTAATTACTACTCCTTTTCCCGTCTCTTTTGTAATTTCTTCAGAAATTAACTGAAGCCTCCTGCTGCGCCTGACTTGTCTGTGCTCGGAATCAACTTTCCTTGGTTCTTCACTGCTTGGATAGCTATCAATCTGTGGCTCAGCTGGATCGGGAGAAACAGAGTTTCTATCCACTACCAACTGTAGAGCACACATGGCTCTAGTAGAACGCCTGCATCTTTTTGCTGCAGAACTCCTTTTAGTGCTTTTCTGATCACGGTTACTCAGTTCTAGCTCCCCATCACAGTGCTTGCCAGTCACCTTTTCAGTAGCTTTTTTCCATATGGATCCTCCTCCTTCCTCATGTTCTGCTAGTGTATTGTCCTCTCTATTCTTGGAGAGGAGACTCTCATTAACAGCAGAACTTTCATCACATCTTTTCTTTTTGGCATCTCCAGGGCACCAGTTAACACTTTGAGGACACCCACCTGCCTCTTTTGTATCTTTTTTCTTGATGAAATCCTCAGGTTGCAGGACACGGGCAGTCTTCCTTTTTCGTTTTAGTCCGTCTTTACTGGAATTATTCAAGCACTTCTCATCAGTAGCCACACCTTCCTTTTTTGTAGTAGGTAAAATCTCTCTCAAGATAATAGCAGGATTTGACTTCCTCTCTCTCCTGTATGTTTTCCCAAATATTTTGTCTTTGATGCTATCTGTTTGTTTTGACCATGTCTTGTTTCCTTCAGCCACTGCAATTTCCATGGAATCTATCATAGGGTCAGTCTTTTCTGAAATACAGGAATCTTTATCTGATAAACATGTGTCTCCTTCACCTGAAACATCAGTTGCTCCAGCAGAATCATCCTGGGAAGAATTGGAAGACAGAATCTCATTGCTTTTTGAAAACCATTCATTGACTTTCTGAATGCTTCGCTTCAGTCTCTTCCTAGAGACTTGAGTCAGGGTAGCAGAGTGAAGTGCCTCTGGCTGAAGCGGTTTCTCCAGAGGAAGTTCTTTTTCATTGAAAGAATCGTTCTCAGTTTCATACATTTCCACAGCTTCCACACTTTGTACAACAATATCTATTTCCTTGCTTTTATCCAGCCTGCTCTCTGAGCTATCTTTTAAGTCAAACTCTTTGCTTTTACTATTGCACCAAGTTTGCTCTGCATCCATTTCTTCTGTGTTCTTAGAGAAAGATGTGTCCCCATTCCTTGAAGGACTGGCATTACCTATTCTGTCACACTGCTCTGTGAGTAGGTCTGCAGCAAGAACAGTTAAAGGAGAACTCTGGTATTCAGTCGTATGCGCTTGACCAGGTTTGGCATATTCAGTGATGCTCCGAGTGCTTTTCTTGCTCAAGCCTTCCTTCGAGAAATCACTTTCACCTGAAGATTTATAGGTATTATAAATTATTAAGCCCTGTTTTACATGCACAAGAACAATGACAAGCTTAATGGCTGCTTTTTGTTAAAACAGCTGTTCTTATTTCCCCCTCAAAACAGAACATTACACTTCACAAATCTCCCTCCAGAGAAAGGGAGAAAGATCAAATTACATACAACATGTTCATCCAACTTCTTACATGAATTGCCAGACAGCGCTCTCAACTTGTATTATAAGGGATAATACCGCTTACACAGAATTGAATAAGTTTTGCACTTTGATCAAGTTACTTTTTCCCCTTCTGCTCCTGTGCACAGAATATCCACATTTTAAGTATCTAGTCTACAGGTATAGTCTTGTATTACAGTCACGAGCTGTAGCCACCAACAAAACTACAACGTACAAGACTGCAAGTATATATATTTAATCATGTGAAAACAAAATGTTAACTTGTGGTCTTTCTTTCAAGCTTAATCATTTTTGTCACCAAAACAACAAACACACCTACAACATTTGGTAGAATTATTTCTTTAGCACCCAGCTTGTCAGGCTGTGTATTGCAAGAATATTCATTCCCCTTCTCAGCACTCTTAAGTTCTTCTAGCTTTTCTTGAGATGAAGTCTGAAGCACTTCTTTGTCTTCTAACCTGTTGGGAAGGGAAATCTACTTTTATTAAATCAGAGAAAACCACAAAAGACAAAAGATGACACCTGATTTTCCCTTTTTGCTCTCTGAAAGAGTTTTTGGAGAAGTCAAGCTTCATGACTGACACTCGCCACAACTAAATCCCTTCAGTTTCAGGCCATTTCTTTAAAAGATCCCCTCCCACATTCCTGAATGTAACATTTACTTTCTAAAGCACAGCACATGCTTTTCTCTTGAAGATCTGATGTCTGCGTAAGCAACAAAACATTTAGAAAAGAGCTTTAAAGCATATTATATGACAAAGTGATGGAAGTCAGCTATCCATTCTACCCTGATGCCCTCGAAGTTGAAAATCCCTTGTCAGCTTGAAGAATTCTATCAGTCCTATGCTAAGAAACTAAAACATAGGAATGAGAATACTCAACTACAGTCTTTAGAAAATTCCTTAATCACCTTTACTTACCCAGTACTGCTTGCCTGTTTAAAAAGCTCTTCAGATGAATCAGAGCCTAAAAACAAATCAGCTGTTACTTCGGTTGAAATGATTCAGAGAAGGATGCCTTGCCAGGTTCAGTGTTTATTATCACAGAAGCGTGCATGCTTAGCTCTTTCTAGAGGTAGATGCTTTCAATTTTTATCAGATGAAATCAAGTTCAATTGTGCAGTATTTTACTTAATTATAATGATTTCTGTGTATTAATATCTACATTGCTCCAGCATAAAATTCTGTTTAAATACAGTGCCTGGTTAACAGAGAGCTACTGAGAGTTAATTAGCTAAGAGTTAGTTTCTAATTTCTAAATTTACACATGAAACAGCAGCTAGTATTTAGAATTTTGAACTGGAAGTCAGAGCAATATATTCAAATATTTGTCTCAGATCCTTTGATTGATCTTGGCAGAAACAATAAGGAAAAAAAAGAGAGGTAATGAACACTATCCCATAAAAGGAGCAATTCTTTCCTTGAAGGAACGTGGAGAAAATAAACTATGCACAGCATCTATCTTGTTTCTTGCAGCAGTCAGCACTAGATAAAAAGGAAGTTTGGAAAAGCTAGGATAGACAGAAATGAAATATTCTTTTCTCAATTAGATTTCATTCTTATCTCTGGTTATTAAGTAGAGCCTCAAGCACTGGTGACAAGGCTTAATATTCTTTAGAAAACAGTAGTTATCATTAGTTATAACAACTGTAACTTTTTTCACATCTGTAAGCAACTTTCCTTCTTTGGATCTTGTACACTGAGCCTTAAAGGTTTACTACAGCAACGTTATTTCCTACAATATAATAAGTTATGTAAAAACCCCTTTGATTTACCAACTTTGAATTGTCCATCATTCGTCCCTTTGTTCTCATTTTGGGTGTTAAGGAGAAATTAGTGTTTATAAAGACTTGGAGCTTCATCACCTTTCATTACTCTGCATTGTACATAAGCTCAACTAGAGGGGATCTACAACAGATCTTACCAAACTCTATATAAATCCCTTTTTCAGAGTCACGTTTCTGGGTTTTGTTTCTTAGGGGACACCTTTTGACCCTGGTATCTGTAAGCTGTGTATCCACATTAGCTTCCTGCTGACAGGTGAATAAAGAGGAACAGTTATTTATAACAGTAGGCTATTTCCAAAAAATAAGTAGTAATTAGTTAAACTACAGCAGGGGGGGCTGATACATATGGACTAAGTAATTAAATTGGCAGCCTCTATACAAAAATACAGTACATTTAATTAATCACACTGATATCCGTAGTGGAATGTGCTAATAGAAACAGTTATCATGCATTTAACAGCTCACATCATTAACAGTTTTATCTTACTTAACATTCTATTCGGCATCAAGCAGATGAGAAAAGAAACAACATACCATGAACAAACTCACACACACAGCAATCATCCCAAGTTGGGTATTCATGGTCTTAGCAGTGAAAAAATAAAAAGCCTACCAGTAGTTGGACAGCCTCATTAAACAAGCAGTACGAAAAAGCTTTCAACCCTAGTTTCAGTAACAGAATATATTATGGCAATATTATCTTTAAGTTCAGGTCATTTTATGCAAACAACTTTTTAAAGTAGGTTACAAAGACAAAAATATTTAGAAGTCCTTCTCTGCAATAATATTCAAGTCAAACAGCGATCTGAAAGCAACCCCAAATCTCCTGTTCCATTCATTGAGGTATATGCATGTATACACATTCCAAATAAAACACTAAACAATCCATAAAAATAAATTGGAGGGAAAAAATACCAAGGTGCAGTTTCCTTGTCCATTTTCTTTAGCACTTTTTTTCCTGTTTCTGAAGCCCTTACTTTGGATGACAGAACTTTCTTTACACGGGAACTCAGCAGCAGTGGCTTCTGTGGATGTTTTATGAAAGTGATGACTGCTTAAAACTGAAAAATGTCAATAGGAAAAAAAAGCAAAAATATTTTCTTACACTGAGCACGACCACAGGTATTATATATTAATAAAATAGCCTTGCATAGACCCTATGCAACTAGCACATATACAGCTAAAATACAATTATCAAAGAAAAAACCCTGATTGAATAATTAGTCTGATTGTTCTTTGAGTACTTTTCAAGTATTAAGTAAAATCTTGATCTTGCCAACTAATTTTCCCAACCAATTTTGCTTATATGGATAATCTAGCAAGAACAGGATCTAACACTAGTGATTTTAGAATGACTGAACAAGTTGAAAAGAATTTGAAAAGAAAGTCTAGTTTTTATAGCACAATATACTAAGAAAAAAACCCAAACCAAAACCCACAAACCACCACCTGCCCCCAACAACATCCTGTTTCCCAAAATATAAACAAGCACGCGTCTGACTTGTCAATATCCTTTACAAGGCACCGAGTAGCAGGAAGGATAAATTTGGCTCCCAAAGGGACATATCTGAATGGGACAAGTTAACATACACTGTTATAGCACTTGCTACTGCAGGCTCTAAGGCTGTCTACGGTAAATGAGATACCCTGCAAATAATTACGCTACAACTGTCAAAATCTTATTTAAAAAAAGAAGCGGGGGGTGTACGTTCACAACACTTACACTTTACTCCAGTGTCAAGCTCAAATGCATGGATAGTTTCCAACAACCCTTCAATTAGTTGCTTAAATCTGGAATTTTCTTTCAGACTTCTGAAACAGCATCACCACATGAGTTGTTTTAAGACAAATGTATGGGTAAACTATTAATAATTCTCCTAGGATTTAGGCTGAACAAAAATAGGAGTAAAACTGCAAAGTGGTAGATGAGACAATGAGAAATTGTTGCCAAGGAATAACAATGCAATTCCCCAAAACGACCATTACTACAGGAATTAAAATTATCACAAAGTGAAAATTTCATATTTTTCCTCACGTAGGTTTAGCACAGAGAGACTAGGTGTAACGACTGAAGAATAATACAGTCTATTCTTGATAGCACAAACATTTGCCAAGAATGGTGTCTTCACTTGTGATCACTTGAAAAAAGTTTATATTGAGGTAAGGCACTAAAGAGTTACTCCTTTAGAAACTGGCAGTTTACTTAATAAACACCTTTTCTTGGTTATTTGTCTTCTGCTAAGACGTTTTTAAGACAATGGTTAACTTTTCCCTAGAGGTCAAACTTCTCATCCTCAAGGCCACTTGCAAGGATGCATTACCTCTTGGTAACTTCTGTCTTGCACAGAGGACACTGTACCACACCTGTTTTCTTTTTGCTGAGGAGTTTGAACATGCAGAACCTAGGAAAAAAGAATAATCACGATTGTAACAAAAGGGAGGATCTTATTTTCTTTAAAACTGAGCCTAGGCATGCCCGACTTAGCAGAAATCCTTCATTATGAAGTTGAATGCCTGTATTCTTGTTCTGGTGTTATAATGAATTAATCAATCCCCTTTGACACTTCTGTGAAACTGCAGCTATTTCTTACTCAGAATTGATTTTTCCCCTAAAATACCGACACATTCAGTTATCAAAACACAGCATACATCGTTAGCACTAAAGAAAAGAAGTATACATGGAGAATAAGAACAGATTGACTAAGCATTGCAATTACAAGTTTTCAAACCTACCTGCAGAATATGTGATCACATTTTGTTGAAACTGGCTCTTTTACCACATCCAAGCTACAAAAAGAAAAATGAAGGAAAACAATGCAGAAGTTACATATAAAATAGGAGCAACAAAAGATTCAGAAATACAGTCACTTTTCTGATCTTAAAAAAATATTTTGGTGGGGAAGAGAAGTAGGACACATTTGACAATTTTTCATTTGAGAACCAGGTACAGTAACAAGTACTGTCCTTATGTGGCATACACATCTCTACTAGCTCTTCACAATCTTTGTCTGCCTCTGGGAAAAAGACAGCATTTTCTGGAAGTGCCAGTTCTGCAGGGCAGGAAACTTGGCATTGGAACACTAACGTCTTCTTTTTCAACACGGACCTCCCATGACAAGAGTAAAGGACAGCGCGGTTCTGTTGGGTTCAGAAGCCCACCGGACTCTTACTACGTTTGTATAACCCAAATGCCCAGACATGTCAACACAAATAAATACTTAAGTTATTCCTTCCCCCCACCCACGGTTTTCTCTTCTAAACCCATTCCTGTCTAGCACAGTGTGAAAATTAACATTTAACTTGATACTAGGGCTTTCAGAAAAGCTCTAACCAATTCAGTTGTTCAACTCACCTTAAAATATAAACTACCTTGAACACATACTAAAAGCAAACAAACAAAAAATAAGAAAGGTTTCATAGACTGCGTATGTACCTAAGGAAGCCTCTCTGTGATTGTGTTCTGTCTACAACCCAGTAGTATGTAAAAAAGTTTATATAATCATTCCAATTAAACTGCCACAACAACATAACTTAGACGAAAACAGCCAAAACAAATATAACACTATTATTGCAGAACAGTCAAACTTGTGCCTATAGCAAAATACACACCAAGAGCCAAAAGCAGCCTCAGCATTACTTTTGCATGCATTATTCATTCCCCAATCTCATTTATTCATATTTTCGGATGTTTTAATATTTTAAGTTGCCATAATAGAAAAGAAAGATTATACCTTTATGCCTTAATGTCACATATGGAGATAAAGCAAGACAGGCCCAATCTCACCATATTCACAGCCTTCTGCCCAGTTAATAATTACCAACAAAATAAAATCCTGGTTTTGAACCACCATTCTCAACCTGTCTTGCTATTTAAGCTAAACAGTACACACTTCCATGATCTTTAGTGCACAAATACAAAAAAGTAGACATTGAAAATTTCCATTTCATGTTGAAGTCAGCTTCCTCCTATGAATCAGCAGTACCAGACTGTGTAAAATCACTTTCTGAGCTGTTTCATCATTCCATCAAATTCCACATGCAATAAACAACAGCAGATGCAGGAAATAATTTCTGTTCTAGCTCTTGTAGCATTGTTTAAGTCAACAAATAACCAAGCCAACCACCCAATGGCGATACCTCAGAGAAAAGCATGCTGCCTCTTCAGAAAAGTTTGGATGCAAGTTTTTTCTGCGTAGTGCTACAGACATTCTATGCTTTCTGCTCTGTGCCTTTGTTATAGGTGTTATTACCAACACAGAAATTATTTTGGTTTTCCAATGGCAGTAAAGTAAAATCTTTCCAAATGGCTTTAAGATGTAAGGATTTAAAAACATTTGTCACCGTAAATGAAAAAAAAACTTCAGCAGTTTGGTTCAATGGAAGCAAGAGTCTTTCAAAAGCTTATCAGACATTCTAGGGACCTAGGGTTTAACTAGAACCTATGCTATTTCAGCATTTGTTTGCATTAAAGAACTGCAGACTTCACTTAACTTTTAGAGACAAAGGACAAAGATCCAGGCTGTTTTACAAATAATACTGTAATCCAATCAGTCACAATTTTTTCTTAACTGGATAGAGGACTGACACACGTAGGTTGTAATAGAAAAGCAAAGTTCACTGGAACATAAGAGCAAAATACAGGTTCTGTCTCGCACTTTCTTACTGGAGCCTTACAAAATGTCAATATACTTAACCTTAAAATACAATTCTTTTTGCTTTCTGATAACCCATAGAACTGACAGAATTTAAAAAAGAAAGGAAAAGAGAGAAAGAAAACCAAAAGACTCATTAGCTATACTAATGCAGAGTTCACGTTATCCTCCTGGCATACCATATTGGGCACTCCAAGTTCTTCTGCATAGCTGAAAGCACATTTTGTACATCTCCAATAGCAATCACTGAGAAGTCCATCCTTCACATCCAAAAATATTCTACAGAAAAAAAAAAGCAGTAATCAGCTTTGGTTTTGATCTGTTGCACCCCATAACCCTGTTTTCTCCTGTGTGGCTTTTCTGTAACGTGCTGGACAGTATCAAACACCTAGCTGCTATTTCTCGAGAGAGGCTTTACAGCATTGGCAGAAGTCTTATTCAGAATATTTAGAGTTAAAACCTGTCAAGTGTCTCGTAGTCAAAGGGGCAAACCAAAAGGGTTTACAGAAGTAGCATTCAGCAGAAACTCAGCCAGGGCACACACAAGCACAACAGCGAAAGAGAAGGAGCTTTCTAGGTGGAAAAGGATGTAAAGGAGACAGCAGGCATGCTTACACAAAGGATCCTGGGAACCGCCTACGCCACCCAGCACAGGTAACGCTCCACAGCGATATCGCAAATTCTGAAAAGAGAAACCGCTTGGCCTTACGCGGCGGCAGCCCGGGACGGGCCCCGCAGCGCGGCCTATCAGCAGGCCGAAGCGAACGCGCTCGCCGCGCTCCAGCCGCCCAGCCCCGCCGCCACAGGTCACCCGCCCTCAGGAGCCGCCCTGCGGCGTCGCATTTCGCGCCCTTTACCACCGCCCCGTGACGCGACGCACCTAAACAGCCAATGCTACGGCCCGGCCACAGCACGTGGGCCGCGAAGCGGCTTCTTATTAGCTCCTTCCCGTCACGTGACACAAACGCCCCTCCCACGGCAGGGCGGTGCAGGGAAGGGCGTGGCTGATTGGCTCCGCCGCACGTATTTCCCCGGAGTGCGCAGGCGCCGGCGCGGCGCGTTGTGGGCGTGGCCTAGGCAGTAAGCGTCTGCTGGCGGCGCTGCCCCGCGCTGTTATTGTTGTGGTGCCGCAGCGTCCGGCCCCGCCCCGCCGGCCAACCAGGGCGCTGGGGAGGATGAGTGGCAGGCGGGGCTGCTAATAGTATCGCGCGGAGGGCGCGGGGCTGGCCGCCCTCGGTCCGCCATGTTAGGGTCGTCGGGCCGCCTGACAGGGCTTCGCCTGCTTCCCCGGGAGCGCGGCATGGAGCCGCAGGTGAACCTCCGCGTCGCCTGCCGCGGGGAGACCCAGAGCTTCCTGGTGTCGGACGCGGCGCACACGACGTGGGCAGATGTGGAGGCCATGGTGAGCGCTGCCCGTCCCGCCTGGCCGCAGGCGGCGGAGCGAGGGGCCGCAGCCGCGGGAGCCCTCTCGGTGGGGCGCTGGGAGCGTAAGCGTCTCTCCAGGGGCCCGGCGATTTCTCTCTCGGCTTGCTAAGCCGTGCCCCCCACTTCATAGGCTGTTAGGACTGGTGGTTTATTCTGCTGCGTCTCAGTTTTTCTTTTAGCGTTAACAGTAACTTTAACTGCTGTTATATACTTCGAGCAGCCTGAAAAGCCTGTTCTGGAAAGGCTTCTTACGGGTCCCTTGTTTTTCTGTGTGAGCAGGTGGCCTTACCTGTGTGCTTTGCTCTTTTCCACAGTTATGGAGACTTGGTTTTGGCACTGTACCCCCGTGAAGTACAGTCTGTGCGTCCTATCCCCTATTCTTTTACTCATGCAAATAGATATGGTGAAGTAGCACTCTTTTGTTGCTTATAGAACGTTTTCCTGAGGATTTATCTTTGGTCTCTGGGGTACTGAGTCACTAACATACGTTTCTGGCTTCCTGGTGCCTTGTGTGTGCTAGTTTGGATATAGCCGGTCTTGTTAGTGGGCCACGCGCGAGTAGACAGGTGCTTATGAAGGTCTGTATATCATGCACTTGGTATACTGAGTAGTTTTTGTTTGGATGTTTGTTTCCAGTGCTATTTAGTGAACATTGCTGTATTGGCTGAGGTTGAAATTGCAGTGATTTTTTTTTTTTTTTTCTTTTATTCTGTAGCAACTGTTCTGCTTTTTTAGCTTACTCTCAAAGTTGCATCTTAAGAGATCTTGCCAGTATTTTATTTTCTCTTTCAGTTATTTTTTCAGCTAACATATTTCAGTGTACCTCGCAGGAGGTTCTTGCGTTGTGAATTACTAAAATTCAAAGTTTGAACTGCATCATCTTCACTCGTGGTATTTCAGTCTTCTAGAAGAGGCGCTAGTTCAGGCTTAAAATACTTGGTGACAAGTAGACCGTGCAGGAATG